AGCTACCAATTTTTACCTCAACCATATGCATGGAGTACAATACCAGTAGAACCAGTTTCAGGTTGCAACCATGGAAAACAACATATGAACCATACCTGTGGGAGAAGATATGAACGATATATGAACGAAGCTCTTTGTAGGACAAGCTGACGGCGAACTTGACGGTGCCCCTAAGATACAGCTTGCAACAACAACATAACCAATGCACAAGTCAGAAACCATGGTCGTATGGTGCCCATTTTTTGTTGGAATGGAGGAGGTTTGGCCATGTTTTATACCTCAAATCTGAATGGTCACACACACTCTTATGCATGCACACAGACTCCAAAAACAAACGTACCAACCAAGTTTGAGGTTCCAACCATGACAGAGAAGACACAGAACCATACCTGGGGTGTTCCTCCGACAAGATACCAAGCAAGCTGTTGGTGGGACAAGGTCACACCGAAGTTGATGGTCGCCGGCGAAGATCCAACCTACAACACAAATACAAACATATGGAATATAGTCTTTTAGCTAGTCTTATGAGACTAGCTTTGCTTTATATAATACAATAACTTTCCCTATCAGCTGTAACTAGAGAAGAAAGAATAAGTCCTATAACTACGGGCTTTGATTCAAGTTCTATCAGCTGTGAACACGTGAAGTTGGCTCTACAGTCCGTGACCTCTGCATGTACAGCCCGTGAACAAGTGAAGCTGTGAACACGTGAAACTATGATTAAATTTTTTTAATTTTATACTTTATTTGATATTGTAATATTTTTTTAGAAATTAATAATAAATTACGAGGAAAATACATATAAAAAGAAATAATATTTTTATGTAAAATTAAAATAAATTATATTTTAGAATATATATATATATATTAGTTAGTTTTTCTTTCTTATCAAAATAAAAAAAAATCTATTTAGGATTAGATAGCGGTTAACGTGAAACCGCTATTATATGTTCACTTGAAAGAGCGGTTAACGTGGAACCACTATCATATATCAATGTCCAACGCCCATTATGATCGATTAAATTTTCAAATAATCGATTATATTCGATAATTTTTTCAAATAATTAATTATAATCGATTGGTTTTTTAAATAATTGATTAGAATTGATTAGTTTTTCAAATAATAGATTATAATTGATTAATTTCTCAAATATATATTAAAAAATTATAAATAAAAATATACATTAAATAAAATTAAAAAAAATATTTTTCAATTATATATTATAAAAATTATAATTATATAATAAAAAATATATATCTATATAAATTTATAATGTTTTATATAAAATTTATAGTTTTAAATATAGTTTTAAAAAGAATTATGTATTTATTAGATTAATAATATATTTAGAATTATGGTTGAAAGTAGTAAAATATAATTTTTATTTGTATGATTAAATTTTTTTTAATTTTTTACTTTATTTGATATTGTAATATTTTTTTATAAGTGACACATATATGAATAATTAATTAGAATAAATTAGAATAAATGTTAACCACTCTTATAAATTAATTATATATATATATTTTTATTTTTTTTGCGTAAATTAGAATAATAATTATCAACTTGAAAATAATTTATATTTAATATATATATATATATATATATATATATATATTCTAAAATATAATTTTATTTAATTTCTATAATATATATATATATATAAATGAAAATAAGTTATATTTTGGAATATATATTTTATATTATAGTAATTAATATAAATTATATTTTAGAATATATATATATATATATATATATATATATATATATATATATATATATATATATATATAATTTTACATCAAACTATTTTCAAATAATCGAGATTTTAGATAGTGGTTCTTGATTAAACCACTATCTAAAACATATTTTAGATAGCGGTTGTAGATTTAACCGCTATCTAAAACATATTTAGATAGCAGTTAACGTGGAACCACTATGATATATCAATGTCCAACGCCCATTCAGATCGATTATTTTCAAATGATCGATTATATTCGAAATTTTTTTCAAATAATTAATTATAATCGATTAGTTTTTTAAATAATTGATTAGAATTGATTAGTTTTTCAAATAATAGATTATAATTGATTAATTTCTCAAATATATATTAAAAAATTATAAATAAAAATATATATTAAATTAAATTTAAAAAAATTATTTTTCAATTATATATTATAAAAATTATAATTATATAATAAAAAATATATATCTATATAATTTTATAATGTTTTATATAAAATTTATAGTTTTAAATATAGTTTTAAAAAGAATTATGTATTTATTAGATTAATAATATATTTAGAATTATGGTTGAAAGTAGTAAAATATAGTTTTTATTTGTATGATTAAATTTTTTTAATTTTTAATTTTATTTGATATTGTAATATTTTTTTATAAGTGACCCATATATGAATAATTAATTAGAATAAATTAGAATAAATGTTAACCGCTCTTATAAATTAATTATATATATATATATATATATATATATATATATATATATTCGTAAATTAGAATAATAATTATCAATTTGAAAATAATTTATATTTAATATATATATATATATATATATATTCTAAAATATAATTTAATTTAATTTCTATAATATATATATAAATGAAAATAAGTTATATTTTGGAATATATATTTTATATTATAGTAATTAATATAAATTATATTTTAGAATATATATATATATATATATATATAAAATTTTACATCAAAATATTTTCAAATAATCGACATTTTAGATAGCGGTTCTAGATTTAACCGCTATCTAAAACATATTTTAGATAGCGGTTAACGTGGAACCGCTATCTAATATATATTTTTAATAGCGGTTACTTCTATAACCGTTATCTAAAATCTGATTATTTGCAAAAGTAATCGATTATTTGAAAAATTATATATTCTAAAATATAATTTATTTTAATTTCTATAATATATATAAATGAAAATAAGTTATATTTTGGAATATATATTTTATATTATAGTAATTAATATAAATTATATTTTCTCAACTTTTTGCGAGAGATTCTTAAGAATCTCTCTGCATGCACGCACGAGTGAATCTTGCAGAGTGAGGGTAAGTTGGACATTTCAATTTGTCCAGGGGCTTTCATCTCCTTTTTTCGTGCATCAGCGAAGAACCTCTTTCTCCTATCTCCCGCTTTTCCTCGCTTTCATTTCGTCGTATTTTTGTTGAACCAAACGTGTGTCATCCTCGTGCTTCTATCTTACAGTATACCAAGTGGAAACAAACAGAGGCTACAACTGCGACATGAGGCTATTAACAAAAAGAAAAAAAAAATTGTTTGAAATTGTATAATTGTCACATCTATTCATAACATTCCAATAACAAAAAAAAATTGAGTTCGTGTTTTAAGTTTTTTTAGTTAGCATATATTGACGTTATATTATAATACTATTCTAATGATTATTTAATTTACAATGTTTAATTCATAAACAATTAACTTGTGTTATATAATTCTAGAAGTTAATTTTGTAATTTTTTTATTTTTAGAGTCACAAAAGAAAAAATATATTAATAAAGATTAAAATTCATTTATTTAATATGTATTCAAAATATATTTAAGTAATTTGATAATATTCAATATCAACATCAAAATAAATTATGTGAATATATAAATATATTTCATTCAAATATTTATATCACAAATCTTAATATTAAAAAAAAAAACATTTCAAATATATAATAAAATATCTAAGAAATAAAATTTCTCTTAAGCTCTTTTTTTTTTAAGAATCTACTGTGAGAGCTAATCATTTAAAATATTATAGGTTTACATGTAAAAAGAGTTAAAATCAAACTCATCATATAAATAACAATAAGGTAAAAATTTTAAATTATATACGTATTCCTTATATATTATATATTTTTCTTTCTTTCAAACATAGGTAAATTTTTTTAATCATATACGTATTCCTTATATTATATATATATATATATATATATATATATATATATATATATATATATATACATATATATTTCATATATAATTTTATCATGTAAAACAAGTAAATAAAAAATAAAGTATTTAACCTTTAAAATATAAACTATATCTGATATCATCATATATAACACATATCATAAATATTCAACTATATTTTGAAAAGATTCACATAATTAAATTAGACTTGAAATTATGATTTTATCAGAATATTTCATAAGTGAATATTTTTAATATAAATATATAATTAATTGAATATATTCTCTCATGGTAAATTCTTATGATTTGTCAGACATAATTTATTTTCATAATATAAACTAAGTTATAAATATTTTTCTCAAACTCTTATTACCTAATTCTTAATTCTTTTTTTTATATGAATCTAATATCAATATAATTAAGAATCTTAAATTTAATATGTCATGTATATCTTAACATAGTATTTTTTTCCTTTAAAAATATTATATTAACTTTCATTAATATATTATAGATATAACATTAATATAAGGATAATATTTTTTACATTATAATAAAATATTTTTAAACATGCATAATAATAATCAATTTACTTTATTTCATTTCATTTCATATATTTTAACATCATAAGTCATATACTTATTTAATACATCAAATAAATTATTTTATATTTTCAATTTTCAATATTTTTAAAGCTTGTAAAATAAAGAATTTTCGTTTCAACAAAATACTCCAAAAAAAACAATATTCTTCTGTAGTTTTAATTTTGTTTCCTTTCAACACTTCTCAGTACCTAATTTTATCCAGTAACTAATAAAATGTGGGAAAAATAAATAGTAAAATTAACCTTTAAAAAATGAATAAAAGAAATTTAATAATTCTTTTATTAACATTAAAAAAAGGAAAAAAATAAAAAAATGGTTCATTTTCATTAGCATTTTACATTTTTTAAGAAAGAAAAAACAATCCATTGATGGGAGAGTTTACCCTAATTTTTAGTTTTAAAAAGGAGTTGCACAACACAAGAAAGGGGAGGAGGGTTTGGCATGAGTAGTCAGGCACACAGCCCTGGTCTCATCTCCCTTCTCCACCCTCCTTCACCTCATTCACAGCCACCTCCCGCGTCTCTCACTTGCCAGACACCCCGCGCCTCACCTAGAATCCCCCTCTCCAGCCTTCATCTCATGCGGCTCCCGTCCCCCCTCCACCGTTGTCGCACCACTCGAGTACCCCATTCCTTAGCTCATCTCCACCAGCCACCTTCATCCCCATTTCCTCACCTTCTCACTCATCCCCTCGCGCCTCCATCTTCTCCTCCACCGCAACCCCACAGAAAATCACCACACTCGACCTTAACCAGCCTTCACTCACCCACTCTCCTTCTCATCTCCTTGCTCCCAGTCCACTTTCTCCTTAACCTTCACTCCCCGTGACCCTCTTCTCTCCCTCTCATCATCAAACCTTCACTTGCTCCCTCCTGCGCTAACCCTATCTCCAGCTCTCACCTCGCGACCGGTCACCCTTCACTTCCTCTTCACCCCAGCATCTCCAACAACCTCAGCCAAACCACCACATTTTCACCTTCAACCTGTAGCCAACCACCATCCTTGCGCCTCCACCGCGACCGCCCATCTGTCCACCATGAGCTATCTCACCTCACCCCCGCATTTTCACCTCCTCACATTCGAACCACCACTCTCCCTGTCACAGTCGAACCTATAGTCTAACCTATCGTGAGCCAAATCACAAACCACCACCACAGCTAACAGTGGTGGATCTTAAAGGTGTGAGATAACAAAAGTGTACTATACAAATAAACAATTATTAAGTCTGGAGTAAAAAATAGAAATATTATAAAAGTTAAAAGGTTTTGGGTGACATGACCCTGGCCAACAAAATAATTTTTATTTTTTTTTCTGTCTTTTTCTTTCACAGTTTTTTTAGTTATTACTTGGACAAAATAAGTTACTTCCAATGGTACTAAATTCGATTTTATCTATATATTTTTGATTTAATTTTATATTTTATATTTTTAACTCATGTGATATTTATTTATTATTTTTGTCATAATTTTTAGTAAATATTATTTTTAATTGATCTAACTCGCATTGAATTTTATATCTCGTGTTAAAAATAATAAATTATTTGTTGAATTTGGATTCTCTGTTTTTTTTAGAAGTTAAAACAAATTTTTTAAAATAATTTATCTAAATTAAACTTTCTTTATATAAGGTTAATTTTTGTAATTGTAGTTATGAATCTTAGATTTGTGTTCATATTTTTTAAGTATATATTTAATTTAAGAAATATTTTTATATATTTTTTCTTCTCGTTCTCATTTTGACTATTCATCTTTTCTACAGTGGTTTAAAATTCTCAATAATGAATAATTAAATCTTAGATAATCAATTTACAAAATAAATATGAAGTAATATGCATTGAGTGTATCATTAATGGATTATTTTTGTATTTTTTCTTCTTTTTGCTAATTTCAGTTTTGTTCTTTTTTTATTATAATTTCTAAATTTTTATTTTAGAAATCAATTAAATCTTAATTTAATAATTAAATATAGATTAAATTGAATAATATATTGATTTAATTTATATAATTGATTTAGTTTATTAATTTAATCAAGTTGAACCTTAAATTAAAATCTTTAAAAAATTATGACAAGATTATTTAGTATACATGTATACGTGGATTAATTGATTTATTTTTTAATTATTGATTTTAATTTGCTTATTCTTTTTTATTTTCAACTCTTGTTTTCCATTTTCTAAATCCTAAATTTAACTGGTAGAAAGGAAAATTACAAATTGAATATACATAATATGTGTTATTAAAAATAATGATTTAAGATTGTATTTTGTATTGCAAAATCTTTAAAGAAAGTTAAAAATCTTTTATTTAATGAACCATTATGAAAATTATTAATGATAAAATTTCGCTTTGAGAAAAATTTCTTTGTTTTAGCAAAAATACATAAAAAACAAGCTTTATTTTATTGAAATTTTTCATTTGAACAAAATATAAGGGTGAAGCAAATCTCTAACCTCTAGAATCCATTTATCATTGAGTGGAAATAGTCTTGAGATTATTTATTGTCTCTGTTTCATAATTCAATTAAGTAACAAATTGTTGTTTGAGCCAAATATATATATAATAATAAACATATAAAAATATACCTCAAACCACTTTTCAGACACTAAATACAATCTTAATTCTATTACACAATTTTTTCATAAAATTTATTATACCTAATCCAAATATAGTTACCCAATTATAACATTTTACACATTATTAAAAATATGTAATCATAATTTCAAATATAATATTAATAATTAATTTTATATATTTCAAATAATATAATCAAGTCATTGTCACAGTCTAATTCATATATTTTATTCGTATATCTTAATGTATTAAGAAATTTATTATCCGTTTTTCTTACCTAAATTTCATACTTTTTTATTTAAATACTCCAAAAACTCGTAAACTCACAAAAAATTTAAATCATGCTTACTAATACCCATAATCAACAAATTGAGCATACAATCATGTTTCTAAACTAGTAAACATTATTTTCATCGCACAAAGTTTACCCACGTATAAACCCTAATCTTAATTTTTGTATAAATACTATAAATTTAGGTAAAAAACAAAACTTACTTAATCCAAAATTCTTTCATTTTTGTTTTTTTTATATGTAAAATTATTTAAATATAAAATATTTATATTTCAAATTTTACTTATAAAAAATAATCATTTCTCTAAATTCTAAATTTTTATTTTTTTTAATTCATCGTTAATTTATTTATTTTTTATAATTAAGCATGTGATTTCAGCTTCCAGGAAACATTTTTATCCAAACAGCTAATACTAATATTTAATGAAACTTTTTTTTCATATCCCATTTATGATCAAGTTAACTATATTTAATTTTTTAAATTAATAGCTAAGATTACACTACAAGAAATATTAAAATTACCGACGGTCAAAATCCGTCGGTAAATGTGTTACTGAAATTATCGACGGATTTATCCGTCGGTAATAATTTTATTATTTATTAAATATATTACTTATTTATAACATATTTTATTTATAGAATCCTTATATTCTTATTATTTATTATTTCACCATATTATATTTTTATAACTTTGAATTATTGTCAGATTAAGAGAAATGTTATTAACAGGATTGAACCCAAGTACCTTAGAATGTAGATCGATACTCCAACCACTAAGTTACTAGAATTTCTTGATAACAATTTACAAATAAATTATATTTATATACAAATATACAAATACATTTATATATATTTATATATATTTATATATATATTTATATATATTTATATATTTATATATTTATATATTTATATATTTATATATTTATATATTTATATATTTATATATTTATATATTTACATATTTATATATTTACATATTTATATATTTACATATTTATATATTTATATATTTATATATTTATATATTTATATATTTATATATTTATATATTTATATATTTACATATTTATATATTTACATATTTATATATTTACATATTTACATATTTTTATATTTTTATATATTTATATTTTTATATATTTATATATTTATATATATATATATATTTATATATAATTAAATATTTATTTTTTAAAATTATTTAATTTAATAAATTATTATAAATTAAGCTAATTATGATTAAATTAAATTATTAAATAAAAAATATTTTATTTTTTAATTAGGTGAATAATTAAATTATATTATATAATTTTACCGACGGATTTATCCGATCGGTAAATAATTGTTAATTTACATATGAATTTACCGACGGATATATCCGTCGGTAAATTCATCTATAATGTAGGGTTTAGGGTTTAGGGTTTAGGATAAATAATTGTTAATTTACATATGAATTTACCGATGGATATATCCGTCGGTAAATTCATCTATAATTTATCGACGGATTTACCGACGGATATATCCGTCGATAAATTCATCTATAAATTACCGACGGATATATCCGTCGGTAACTAATTATTATTTTACCGACGGATATATCCGTCGGTAACATCAAATTCCACAAATATTTTATATCCGTCGGTAATTTCTGTCGGTAATGATTATTTTCCGACGACTACAAATCCGTCGGTAATACGCGATTTTCTTGTAGTGTTACTTTACCCTTAAGTTAGACCATCAAACGTCTACTGTGCTGGTTAAAACGTCCCATTTTTTTGTTCATCTTTTAAATTAGTGTATTTTTTATTGAGACATTCACTAGTTTTTATGCTAATGATATATTTCATCATATATTAAGAATATAAACCACATTTATTATTGGTAACAAAAATTAGTTTTAATTGAATTAATTAGCGTCACACCACTTAAATTATCTGATTAAATTTGTATTTTTAGAATTAAAAAATAATTTATGATATTATAAAATTAACTAGTTTAACTATTATTATTAGTTTTTGATGAATTAGCTAATCAATTATTTAAGGTGTTATATTTTTAAAAAAATGTCATCATAAAGTTATAATATTAAATGGGATTTGGTTTAAATTTTATATTTGATGGGATGGTAGAGGTTCTCTTCTGAATATGGGGATATTTTTAGAGATAATTAGGATTGTGAATTTTCATACACTGGTGTTCATATATTTGAGGTATGGGATATTACAATTGATTTTGCTTTAACCTGTCAACATAGTTGAGATAACAAACAATATAATGATGTCTTAATACTTTTATTTAAATGAAAAAAAAATACTAAAATATACAACCAATAATATTTCATTTGAAATATATATATTTTTTATGTTTTCTTTTAGAGAGTATCTCAAATTACAACATATATCTACCACAGATCTTGCTTTTTCTTTCTGTATTTTTTTTTAATAATTTTCGAGTTCGGCTTTGGGTGGTCGAATCATCTCTTTGTAACACAAAGTAAAAAGCCTAACTGTTACTAAAGCTAAAATACTAGTTAAAGTAGTAGTAATGTTACTTTGTACTCACTTTAATAATTTATGGGTCCACAGATTTGATTGCTTAGTTAGTTTCGGTGCCAAACATATTTATATGATTATTAGTATGTTATGTGACTTTTTAAATAGCAAGATATTATATTATTTTCTTATAAAAATTTTATTTAATTTTTTTATTACTCGTTAAGCCGTGAGACCATATAAAGTCAAAGTGAACCAAAATTATGGTTAATTAGTTAAATTGGACCTCCAAAATTTTTATTTAAATCAAGCGAGACTATATTATATATTTTGTGTTCGCAAAAATTGGGTCATGTATATATATGATACATAATTTAAATGTGTTGGGATAATTATTTATTAAGCCAAATAATAAAGTAATATGACTAAATTAAAGTTTTGGCTAAAGACATATGTCATGAAAATAAAATTGTAGTATCATTGACAAGATGCTTGTTTTAGTCCATAAATAGATTTTGTCAGTTTGCAAACCATATTCTTTGAATCTCCCTGCACAAACTTTGTTTCATCCCTAGTGTGATTTTAGAGACATGTTTATCCTTTATGTGTTGATGGAAAATGAGGTGTTTTTCATCATTTAATTTATTCAAAGGAAGTTTTAATCTCTAATGAGATTCTAGGGAGGTGTTCATCCTTAATGGAATTCTAATGAGGTGATTATCTTTTGAATTAGTTTGCAAATATTAATATTTGGCCGAATTGCAT